CAACAGTCCAACAGATCACCTGGAGCGGTGGTGGAGTCTCCGTCACTGGAGGTCTTTAAGAACAACTTACACACAGACTTGAATGAGATGATTTAGGGATGATCCTGCCTTAAGCTAGGGGTTGGATTAGCCAACCTTTTTGGATGTGGGGCCGGATCATGAACTTTTTATCACCCAGTGGGCCGGCGAGCCATATTCAAAGACCTCAGAGGAAGCAGTATCGCAACAGGAAGTGATGGCACGTGACCTTTGACACCAATGAAGTTGCAGGAAGTGACAATTAAATGTGTCTGGAAGTGTGGTTTAAAATCCAAAATAAAAACAACACAAAAGCAACAATGAAATAATACCAAACACTCAACTAAAATAAACACTTTTGCTTCTATGCATTTCTTAATGAATGAAAGAAGCATAATGCAGGCTTGCCCTGGGACACCAGGGCATACAACACCAGGTAGAGGAAGCCGTGGAGGAGCAGCCGGCTGGCGGTGGAGGAGGAGGAGCAGCAGCGCCTCAGGATGCTGCCCAGCTCCATCGGAGATGAGGAACCCGGTCTTCACACACGGCCACACGTGTGCAGCCTGCCTCCCTCCTCGCCCCCGGCTCCCACGGAGAAGGCAGGCACGAGTGTGACCTTGTGCTTCCTCCTCACGAGCACACGCACAGGCGTGGCACCCCCATGTGGGCTCAGCATCTCCCCCTGGGGAGAGGGTCAGCAGTCACCGGGCAGCCAACTGCCTTGTAGTCCGTGTTCACTGGTCACCTGCTGAGGGGCTGGGGGAGGGACAAGGGGCGGGAACGAAAGTAAACAGCGTTTACTTTCGTTTCCCGTCACAGGACCTCAGGCCTCAGAAAATGGCTTGGCGGGCCACATGGCAGTCCGCGGGCCATATGTTGGATAAGCCAGGATCAGATGACCTTCTGAGGTCCCTTGCAGCCCTGCTTTTCTGTGATACTCTCTCCAACAGCTGGGTCTTTCTCCATCTCCAAGGTACTAAAACAGACCTCAGGGTCAACCATGACCTGAAGAGAGGGGAGCTTCTCTTCTCACAACCGTCTTTCGGGTGAAGTATGAAATAAGGCATGAACCATTCCAGTTCACTTAGATTCCAAAGCATTTTGGCAAAACCCTCCATGTACCTGACCCAGTTTGAAATGGATCATTATGCAGCACATGCCCAAAGCTGGATAATATTGTTCAGCAACGCCTGGCAAAGTTACAATCATTGCTTTCTACCCCAGTGATGGCTGCACATTCACAGTGAGTGACAGATTGTCCTGGTACCTATAAAAACATATTCTACTTCACATTTATGCTGGTGTAAATCAGAAAACAGAAGAGTGATGCTCAATTTCAGTGAGATCAGGATCTGGCCCAAAGCCCTTTAGCATCTTGTGGGAGAGAAGACATCGAAAAACACACAAAACTTATGAGGCTTACACCTCCCTTTATTTCACAATGCGTCAGTTTTACATAGAAGCCTGTGTTTGCACCAATGTTATAACCTGCTGGTTAGTTGTGCAAGGCAATAAATGTGAGACACTTGCATTCCAGAGAGAAAGAAAAGTCATAGTTCACAGTTTATCAGGTCATCTCCCACCCGTTCTTACATGTGAATAAATTAAGTGCTAGCACAAGCTAAAATACAGGCAGATACAGTCATTGCCCTTTAAAAGCAGCCTTGAATTTCCCAACACGGAAAAGTAGCAGCAGCACTGGAATGGAGGAGCAGCCATATTTTCCCAGGGACCAGACTCCTCAGTACAAAATGATCACTGGGAACAAGGGCATTTTAAATCAGTGAGTCAAAGTAAGTGGTCAGTAAATGGTCCCCCTATTCAACCTTTGTTCTACAGCTGAAACAAGTGTCTTGTTCCTTTTCAAGTAACCCTGGAAGAAGAGGGAGAGGGACTTCCCACATCTCAGCCTGAACACAAAGATCACTGTGGCTGGCCCACTGGCAGGAAAACACAAATCTGGAAAGCCCCAAAGCTTCACCCCCTCCTGCCTCCCAGGGTGATTCATACCACCCGAGCAGAAAAAAGCTAATCTTCCCTGCCCTACTCAGACAGGGCAAGGCAAACCAGCTACACCACATCAAGCGATGCCCCCTTCCCAAAAGCCGATAGCCAATTAGAAAAGAAAAGAAGAGTCACAATACTCTGAGTCCAAGTCTACTGCAACGTCTTTGTCCCCCTCCTTCATGTGGACCATGGGGATAGCAACTCTTCTTCCTTCCACAAGACATACTTGGAAGCACACAGACTAGAGTCACAGGTCTGTCTTTGCCCTGGTTGTCACACATTATCTAGAAGAAGGGGCACCAGCAAGGGTGTTTTGAGGCACTGCAGGGAAGGGAGTTCTCAGTGCTACAGTATAAGTCTGCTCAGGCTTGGGGGAGATAGGAAGAAGACCGAGGTCTGTCCTTGCTCTCTGAGACATCAGGGTCAGAGGATCCAGGGAATTCTCAAACCAGGAAGATGCTGGTGAGATACCAGAAACTGAAGGGAACCATGCCTAGCATGGATCATTCTGATCCCTGAATTCTCAGGGATGCCTCAGGCTGAGGGCCAAAGCCAGACTCCAAACCACCCTTTTGACAGTGTTGGTTGTTTCATAGCCACTTCTGTAGTCACTGTTGCTGGGATTGGGCACTCTCCAGACAGTCATCTGCTGAGAAGATGCTGGATCAGCTGCTGGAACTGCTCCCACTGCTGGTAGATGTAGAGCTGAGTGTCCCACAGCGCATTCACCAGGATGGCATCATTCACCTCATCCAGCATCACATCCGACTGCAGCTGCGGGCTGAACCTGTGGACACCGAGATGTTACCACCAGGTAGGGACAGCAGCAGGGGCAGAGTGTGGGGACAGGCAAGGATGGGGACACAGATGCAGTGCTGCATGACAGAAAGCATGGGAAGAATGAGGCATGCCACATTAGGGCCCTGAGGAAGGACAGAGGACCAAACAGATGGTGCTGTATAAAAAGCAAGGGGAGGAGGAGGAGGATTTGAGGGGGGCAATGAGCCAAGGAAAGCTCTTACCGGAAATAATGGACGTCAGTCATCTCACACCAGGCCCTGGCCCGATCCACGGCCGGCCCATCTGAGTCAGTACACTGTCAGGGAAACAAGCCAGCTGTTAGGTCATGGAAGGCAATCTGCCCATCCACCAATACGGTCAGGCTCCCTTTGTTCCGAGTCCAACCATAAAAGGCCTCAGGGACAGAAAAATCACCACAAACCCATTTTAGAAACCTATCAAAATGGTTTGAAAGGGCTTCTCTGCAAGCCATGTCACAGCTCCCCCATGGCAGAGCCCAGGCTTCTAATCACCATGGGGTGGCAGGCATGAGGCCCTGGACTTAGAGTCATAGAATAGTAGGTCTGGAAGGGTCCTCAAGAAGCCATCTAATCCATACCCGTGCTCACAGCAGGATCATTTCTACCCATGTTTGTCCAAACATACAGCCATGCTTGTCTAACCTATTCCTAAAATACCGCAAAGAACCCTGTTGCACAACTACAAGGCACATTGATTCAAAACACCAAGAACACCCTAACTTGCCATGGATAAAGCAGGAGGATGAGGGCAATCAGATGTCCCACTGCTGCAAGCGTTGTTAAAATATATCCAAGAGATTCAAAGAAGAGGATTATGGCTCCTCTACCCCACTACAGAAGGTAAAACTTCTTATATTGCATGTCAATTTGGGGTCAGAGATAAGGTTATTGGTGGAGTTTTAACTCTGAACTTTCTACCTTTTTTATTTTGTTCACAAAACACATTCCAATGAGCTGCTTTTTGTTAAATGAGCAAGTGAGCGAGCAAGAGAGTGAGTGAGCATAAAAAGCATCCACATGTCTGTTATGGATATCCATTCTTAGTGAGCTTTTTGGATAGAAATATCCTTAGATGTTAATGCTGATGCCATCATCATAATTCAATACATGACACTTTTTCAGAGAGCAAACTAACTTCAGTTTCTCCAGGCTTGACGTGTTCAAACCAGACTCCAGTTCTAAAGTGAGAATTTTGCGCTTACTACAAACTGAGCTCACCATTTTATCAAAGCAAAAGTTGAGCCTTGCTTTGAAACTTGCAACCAATTACTCAAAGATGCCTATCTGATAAAGCACAGGTTTTCCACACTCGTGCTCAAATACACACACACACACACACACACACACACACACTCTGCCATGAAACAGTATTTATAAAAATCCTAGGCAGAAAGTACCTTGATAAGAATGTGTTGGGAGAAGCCAGAGATTCCTAGCTGTAGTTTTGCAAAGGCAGATCATAATACAACCATCTAAAAGATGTGTATGTCCAATTCAAGAGGAATTCTTTAGGATGGGCCAACTCAACCTTTTCCCCACCACTAAAATCTTTTTATTCCTATGTTACTAACTCAGCCCATTTTCTAGAGCATGGGAAAACTTTTTTTTGTACTCAACTGCTATGGACTTTTTAAAGTTTAAGGAGGAGGGGCTGAAACAGGGGATGTGAAAACACCTTGATAGGGAAGAGGATCATCCTTATTTGGTTGGTATGTTGGACAGGGACTCGTCTAGGGAGCTCTCTCTCATGTGATCCTCACATCCTTGTTTGAATTCAAACTGACAATTTTTACTTTTAAAAACAGTGAGGCCTAACAAGAGATGCTGCCTCATTTCTTCCTACCTACCCCATCCCCCAATACTTACACAGTCCACCACCATCTTGCCCAGCTCTCGGGCCCCAAAGACAGTCTTGGCTAGCTCCCACGGGTTGGAGGGGCGGAAGACATCCACCGAGCTCACTGGGACCTGTGGAGGCTTCCCCGTCCCAAGAGAAACAACCACTCCCAGCTTCTTCACCTTCTGGCTCTGCCCCTATAGGAGATGGACAAACTGAGTTTCATTACACAGCTCAAGGGTTCAAGGAGAAGAGAAGGCCCTACCCTGCTTCCACCACAACTCTTCTCCTCTTCCACCAGAGCATCTCATACTCCATCACAGCCCTCCCCATTTCAGTTCTAAACTGCCCCGGCAGCAAGTGCCTGTTGGATGTCTCATGGCCACCACC